ACATTCCTTTGAACTTCTGTCTTAAATATGGCCTTGGCCTAATTGTTATTGCTACTTCTTAATTATTAAAACAAAACTGTACTCAAAATGTTGTCAAAAACCAACCTCTGTACCTAGAAACCAAAATATATAAGGTGAAGACAGAGCTTGGTTATAAAGAAGGAGGACAGTTTATTACTTAGCCAGTTGAGGAAGCTGCTGTGGGCTAATGCCTCCAAGGTTGCAAGCCTGCCCCAGGGCATTTATAGAAAAACACAGGATCTGGGGCGTTTCCACAGGAATCTAGTACATGTAGCCAGCCCAATTCATCATGTCTTCAATTCATCGTGATTAGTACTGGCCTGGCCAGCTGAGTCTTGTTATTAAATATATATTGAGGTCAGTGAGATATTAGTATCGATACCAAGTTCCTGGAACAAAGAATTCTAGAGGAAAACAAGTGAAGAGGAGAAGGCTTCAAGAATGGGGAAGAGACAAATCTGTTCAGTTTAAAGTCAAGACTTGCCAAAGCTCTAGTGTGTCCCTCTTAATTTCCGTCTGTCTTTATGTTTGTGTTGTGGTTTCAAAAATTCTCAGGGGACCAAGGTACATGGTTGTAACAACACACAGGTAACAAAAAATAGAAACTTTGAATATATGCTTCCTTCAAAACATCCTTATATGTGCAAGTGTTGGCAAGGATGCAGAGCAAAAAGAATTCTCATATGTTGTTGGTTGGAAAGTAAGATAATGACTGGAAAAAAAGTTGTCAGTTTCTTAAAAAGCTAAATCTACACCTATCACATGATGATTTATCCATTCCACTCTAGTTATTTACCTAAGAGAAATGAATGCACACACCTACACAAAGTCTCATACATGTAAATTCATAAGAGCAAAAAACCAGAAGCAATCTAAGTGTCCTTCAAGAGGTGAATGGATACAAATCTAGCTTCCTGAATGGGATTAGCTTCTTTTTGTTAGCTTAGTTAGAATGAATTCCAATATGTAAAGAGCTTGGAAGTTGTCCTTTATTCTTAGAAGAAAAAAGCTGAACAAATTGAAAATCATTGGCTTAATGTGAAAGCCATGAAGTACAAACATGAAAAATCATGTTGTTAAGTGCTTCCTAAATGCCCCCAGAAGACCTAATCTGACCAGAGTTTGTCATCCTCTCCAATTAATGCAAATGCCATTATAATGCCATAACAAAATTCTTAGCTAATGGGATCTTGCCATGCTAATATGCAAAATAGCGGGTCGCCAGTGTGGCTCAGTCAGTTAAGAGTCTTCAGCTCAGGTCATGATCCCCGGGTCCTGGGATAGAGCCCCACTTTGGGCTCCCTGCTCAACAGAGAGCCTGCTTCCTCGCCTACTCCCCCTGCTTGTGCTCTCTGTCAAATAAATAAATAAATTTCTTAAAAATAAATAAGTAAATTCATTAAAAAGAAACAAACAAATAAATAAGTGAAAGCATACATTTCAAAATAGTAAAAATTGTGATTGTAAACTCCACGGGCTGCTTCAGGTTTATTCCTTCGGTTAAACTCATAAGCCTGGAGGCAAAAGAGCTTTATATACTAGAGCTGAACCACACAGGACATACTTTCCACTGGTGATAAGATATTAGCAGAACTTCTAGGAAAGCACTTGTCAGGTCACTTTGGGAGGCCACAGCAGCAAACTGGATTGAACTACAATAATCATATATATGTGAACCTAGAGGAAAGGCTCAGCGCTCAGTATCAGAGGAAAGGCTCAGGCTCAGGCCTGTCTTCACACAGGCCTTTCTTAACTACACAATATGAGGTGCCTTTTTTTTTTTTTTTTATCATAGTCGTGCTTTTGTTCATGATCACATTTTACTTTCTGAAGTGCTACTGAAATTATTTGTTTATTTTCTGTCTCCTTCCCCAACTTTGAAAACTAAATTCCATGAAAGAGCAAGGACATTTTGTATCTGATTCACAGGTATAAATCTAGATTTTTGCAAAGTATTTGCCCCATGATAGTTATTCTAAATGAATCTTTTAATTTTTATTTTTTAAAGATTTTATTTGAGAGATGTATTTGAGAGAGAGAACATGAGCAGGGATGGGACGGGGTGAGGGAAGAAAGGAGGGGAGCAGAGGGAGAGGCAAAAGGAGAGGGGGGCAGAGGGAAAGGGAGAAGCAGGCTCCCCACTGATCAGGGAGCCGAATTTGGGGCTCAACCACAGAACCCCAGGATCATGACCTGAGCTGAAGGCAGATGCTTAACGGACTGAACCAACCAGGTGCTCCTCTAAATAAGCTTTTTGAAGCCTTTTATCTATTTTTATCCACTTGTTATATTTATTGCTCCCTCCATCTAGTTAATTAACTCTCATGACTTCACATATTTTTCTTCTCCTTCTTTGTGAGAATATTTAAGTTCTACACTCTTTGTAAATATTGTTATATAATACAGTGTTATCCCCTATTATCACCATGCTACACATTAGATCCTTAAACCTTATTCATCGTATAGCTTAAAGTTTGTACCCTTTTACCATATATTATACCATATATTGTTGCTTTAGTGTCATAGATTTCACATGGTACCCACTTTTTGCTCTTTTAAATATATTTACCAAAGATTGTATTCTGACCTAAGTCCTGGGAATGGATATAGGAGAAAGTTTTGTGAATTGTTAAAGTGTGTGTAAAAGAAAATTAGATGCAAAGAAATAATCTCCTAGACATGTTCGAGCCATATTAAAGCTAGTATTTTAGGTATAGATTATATTACCTTTGTAAAATCAAGTAACCAAGCTATTGATTTGATAGCTTTAAAGCTTTTTAAACCGGCACGTTGTGCGCTGTTGTGTGGGATTTGTCTTTGAATATGTTCGTATATTTAAACCACAAAGAGGCAAGGTTGTACTATGTCATATGTGCAAAGATGCACATACTTGAACCTAGTTGAGAAATATGAGAACTCTAAAAACAGTTTCTGTGACCAACATGCCAATGACATATACTCCCAGCTTCATAATTACTGGGAAGTTTTTCTTTTCATTTTTAATCTGAAAATTTTGGCATCTTCTACATCCAGATAGCTGGATTTCATTATTTGGCCATGTGAATCTTCGCTAATAATCTGATATTAGTACACATCTTCAAGGTCATTCTGACATTAGGTTGGTCTTTAGTATTTAATTGAGATGGTCTAATGGCAAGGAGTAAAAATACTGACAGAACTTATGAGGGATCCACTAGAGGGCAGTAAAGTGCAAACCAAATGTAAATTTCCCCAAGGAAAGGCTGGTGCTTTCGTGAAAAAAATCTGTACTGCAAGCAAGATTTCTTAAATGCAAAACATTCAAATTAGTTTAATAATGAAAAAGAATTTACATACACATGTTTCACTTTGTTGGAAGTAGAGCTCCAAAGATTCATTAGGTTGAAGAGCAAAATGAGAACAGAATTGGTCCTCGTTACATCTCTTACACTAATTGTGGGATTTGGGGCAATCTACAGTTTGTCTTTCTGGTTCTCTTCTATGATACATGGGTTTGCACAAGATAATCCTTAAAGTTTTTTTTGCCTCTAAAATCCCAAAGTTTAATGATTATATTTTAGTCATAAAAGACTTGCTGATTAGGCTCTTACATTGTTTGATCAACCATAGCTTGATATTAGTGGAGATTCTGTTTGGAAATATCCATCATTATTTCATGGAAAATTTAGGTTCCTGAAATACGTTGGTTACCTTAATAAAATGATACTTCTGCCCCTAAACTATTACTTGTATATAATCTAGTGACAATAGTGATTCCAATGTTTCCTGGAATAAGTTTCGCTATTTAAACCATCAGTGTAGTCATTTTTATATATAAAAAAAAAAGTGGGGCCCCTCTGTGGCTCAGTTTGTGAACTTCTGCCTTTGGCTCAGGTCAACATCCCAGGGTTCTGAGATTGAGTCCCGTGTTATGCTCCTTGCTCAGTGAGGAGTCTACTTCCCCCTATGGCCCTCTCTCTGCTCATGCTCTCTCTCTCTCAAATAGATAAAAGCTTTTTAAAAAATTTAAAATTTAAAAAATTTACAAAGCAGCGAAATAAAATCCCAACATGGAGCAGCCCTGGTGGCTCAGTGGTTTAGCGCTGCCTTCAGCCCGGGGTTTGATCCTGGAGACCTGGGATCGAGTCCCACATCAGGCTCCCTGCATGGGGCCTGCTTCTCCCTCTGCCTGTGTCTCTGCCTCTCTCTCTGTGTCTCTCGTGAATAAAAAAATAAAATCTTAAAAATAAAATAAAATCCCAACATGATATATTGTATGTAGCCAAGTTGTTTTCACTTTCCATTTATTTTCCTTTTAAAGTACTAGATATGTGAACTCAGTTACTCTACCAAAATTCTGACATCTTGAAGCAAGTTATACATTTTTTAAAAAGTTGTTGGTTTGAAGGCCAGGGATGTGGTGACTTAGCGTAAGTAGACTGAAGTGCGCATGAAAGGTCTGAGCTACGGTTATGTCATCATTCACTCCAGTAACCACATGGAGCTTCTGGCTGGGGCTGATTTGGACAGAGCCAAGGGAGTTCACAGTTATTCTTCACATTTGTTCAGTGATGGTCATTGTGGATATCTACCACAGTAACATTTTCAGTTTATGCCTGGGTTGTGACTAACACCGAAACCCTGTTTTAAACAGCATTTTTTTCATGAGCACCAGTTGATGAAACTCAACAGTTTAGTGCAAGCAGAGACAATTTCTGAATCCAGACTGCAAATGTGGTCATATTTAATACCACACCACATATTCACATATGAATATGTGAGATATTCAATATATGAATATATGAATATTCAACCTTCATTTAAGGACACATTTTCCTCCTGCAAATGTGGATGTGGAATCCAGACTGCAAATGTGGTCATATTTAATACCACACCACATATTCACATATGAATATGTGAGATATTCAATATATGAATATATGAATATTCAACCTTCATTTAAGGACACATTTTCCTCCTGTATGTGTAGCAAAGGAAGAAATAAGCTTGTTTGGCAGTGAGTATGAGCAAGGGAGGACAATCATCCCTTAAAACAATACATTTATTGTTAATATCAGAAGCCAGAGGTAGAACAGTATTATAGGTATATTCTAGACTACCTGCCCTGGCACATAGCTCAGCTGGGGGCAATTAGGCTAGCACTCTTTTTTCTATGATTCTGAGGCTAGTTAGCATCTTCTCAGATGGAATCTTAGACATTTGCATGAGAATATGAATTACTCATTTCAACCGATTTGCTTTTCTGCTAGGGTCTGAGGATGTGAAGAGACCCCTAACTCAGGATCCACAGTTTCAGATATAAGTTGCAGTCCCACAACAGTAATGAGACGAACCCTCCAGGTGCTTGGTATTACTTCTAGAAGGTAGTGAGTAAAATACTGATTGACTACGTACAAATCCTGACTCAGCTGTGTATTCAGTGCCTCAATACCCTCATCTGCAAAATGGGGACAACTGTGCCTGCCTTTTAGGTTTTTGTAAAAAAAAAAAATCAAACAAGTTAATATTTGTAAAACTATTATTATTTTAGCTTAGACTATTAAGATGGCTTCAATTTTTCCAGTGCTTCCCGCCGGATATGGCTAAAAGCATCAATCGGGTTGGCAGTTTCTATTAATAATTTACTGCTGGTCTTGAAAAAGTTGCTTCATCCCTGTTAGCTTCATTTTTTCACCTGAGGTCTTAAATGATGCTTCCAAAGTAATACACGCTCTAAGTTGGTCTCCGCGGATGTTGTGGAATAAACAACCTTGGATAGAGGAGGTTGGGGCAAACAGGTCATCAGGCACCGTCTCGTGTTAACACTTCGTGGGGACCATCGTCCGCGCATACTAGGAACACGGCTGCAGAACACCGTGTCACTTGCTGAAACGAAAGTGGGAGGTACCCACGCAGGATATTCCGTCCTTTATTGTGATAACGACTCCAGCAACATGTGTGCCAACGTGGGACTGAACAATGCCTGAGTCGAAGAGTCGATGAATGGCAGCTATGTCGCGCGCGGCGGCGGTCGGAGGCCGGGCCCCGCGGGGAGCAGCAGGGCGCCCAGCAGCAGCTCGCCCTGGCCCCGCAGGCGGCCCCGCTCGCGGCCGCGGCCCCGCTCCTCCGCCTGGACGCGCACGGCCAGGCGGCGCAGCTGCTCCTCCGACAGCCCGTCCAGCCACACGTCCTGCTCCGAGGCGGCCGCGCGGCTCGGCCGGACCACGGCGCTGCGCTGCGGGCGCGTCTGGCCCGGCGGCCGCAGCACGAAGCTCACGCGGCAGCCGACGGCGCGGGGCTCGGCGGCCTCGGCGGCCCCCGCGGCCCCCGCGGCCCGGCCCTCGGCGCCGAGCAGCCGCACGCGGAGCCGCCCGCTGGCCCGACTGTACTCGGCGGCCAGGCGCAGGGCGCCCCCGGCGCGGCCCAGGGCCACGGTGCCCTCGGCCTCCAGGCGCTCGGGCCGCGGGTCGGGGCCGGGGCCGGGCGGCGGCGGGGAGGGGGAGGGGGAGGGGGAGGGAGCCCGGGTCCCGGCGGGCGGCTCGTCCCCGCGGCCGTCCCGGTCCCCGCCGCACGCGGAGCGGGCGCGGGCCAGGCCGCGGCTCCCCCGGGCTCGCAGCGCGCGGCTCAGCAGCCCTTCGGGGGCGCGCAGGAGGCGGCGGGCGCGGGCCGGCGGGGCGGGCGCGCGCGGCGCCGGGCGGGGGCGGGCGGGGAGCGCGGGGGCGGCGGCGGCCGGGGCTGCGCCCGGGGGCGGGGGCGGGGGCGGGGGCGGGGGCGGGGGCGGGGCGGCGCCGGGGCCGCCGAGGAAGAGCGACTCCTTGCGGCGCGTGTGCGGACTCTCGAGCAGCGCGCAGAAGCCGTAGGCGGTGCGCCCGCGGGGCAGGTGCGGCAGCGAGAGCGCGGCCTGCGAGCGCGGGTCCCAGTCCGTGTGTCCGGCCGCAGCGTCTAGTGCGGCCGCCTGGCTCCAGGAGACCCGGAGTGCGGCCACGCCGGTGCAGGGCGCGAGGCGCGGGGGGATGCAGAACTCGGGGATGCGGTCGGGGGTGAGCACGTTTTCCCAGGCGGCCGGCGTGAGCGTCGGGAGCCGGTGGGCCCGGCCCTGGGGAACCCCGTTCCTGCCCCTCCGCAGACGCTCGGGGCCCGAGCGGAGCCTGTCCAGGCACCACATCAGGCGGGCGCGGGACCCAGGTGACCCCCGCGGTGCTGGCCGGCTTGCACTCCACGCGGCGCGCCAGCCGTCGGCGGTGGGGGCTGCGGGGCGCAGCGACCCGCGTCTTGCCTTCTGTTAGGGCTCCTGCCCCCCGCCTCGCCCGCGACGCTGCGAGCCAGCCCCCGCGCTGCTGTTGCAAGCTGTATTGCAAGTTTCAGGTGCGGACGGTCGTTCTCGGTCGTCTCCAGGAGGCATGTAGCCTTCGGGGCTTGTTGATTTAATCTCGATCCTCCTTCGCTGGCCGAAGGCGGAGATTCTCGAAACGTGGCCTTCTAACTTTGGTCGTGCCGTCCTCAGTGCCAAGAGGCGCTTTGTCTGTGCAATCGTTTCCCGAATCCTTGGGTTACTGCGCTCTAGTCCTTGGCGAGAATTACAGTAAGGATCCCCTCTAGGACTCACGGCTGCCCCCAGGGCAGTTAGACAAGGATGGGAGTCCCTCTTAGCGTACCTGGGGTCCGGTGTCAGGTGGGTGCCTGCACGGTCCGCCCGGGCGCCGAGCCAGAGGCGCGCCGCCCGTAGCAAGTTCGAAGCGCGCGCGGCAGGAGTCAGCAGCGCTGCTCCAGGACTGCGGGCCTGAGCCTTTATACCTGCGGCCCCACCGCTGGCCACGGGGCGGGCGCGACAGGCGCCGCTGGGTAACCTGACACCCGGCCTTCCGCTCTGCCACGTGGCTGGGTCGACTGCGCAAATCCAAGACGTCCAGTACTTTCTCTCTCCTGCGGCAGGTGGGTCTGTTATTCTCAGAAACCCTAAACAAGGTTCTATGTTGTCACATGCAAAAGGGTTAAATCTTGACTCTATCGAGTGCCTTAACCTGCTTTCTCGTTTTCAGTCCTGATTTTAAATGTGTTCTCTTGGTTGATTTTAAGTCACCCCACTTAAGCCATGTGTGCTGATTTTTTAAAAATATTTTATTTATTTATTCATGATAGACACACACACACACAGAGGCAGAGGGAGAAGCAAGCCCCATGCAGGGAGCCTGATGTGGGACTCGATCCCGGGACTGCAGGATCATGCCTGGACCGAAGGCAGACGCCAAACCGCTGAGCTACCTAGGGATCCCCCCATGTGCTGATTTTTGATTGGGGAAAATACGTTCCTGCATACAACTGTGCTGTTCAAACCATCCTTTGAAGCCACCCCCCACCACCTCTGGTCTTTCTAGGCTGTACCCACTTGGGAGACCCCTTTTCTTCCTTTTGAAAACTGACCTATTCTGTAAGAGAACTGCTTTCAGCTAGCTCAGATTAAAAGAGATTTGAGGCATTTTGTTCAGCATTTGGGTGTATACTGTTTCTTTTTAAAATACTGCCTGGTAGGGGGATCCCTGGGTGGCTCAGTGGTTTAGCGACTGCCTTTGGCCGGGGGCGTGATCCTGGGGTCCCGGGATCAAGTCCCACATCAGGCTCCCTTCTTCTCCCTCTGCCTGTGTCTCTGCCTCTCTCTCTCTCTCTCATTAATAAATAAATAAAATCTTAAAAAAAGATACTGCCTTGTAAGTTAATTGCTTCTCCAAATAATGTTCAGTAATTATATAAAATAATGTTCAGTGAAATCAAATTCATCCAAAGGTGGTTTTAGGATTGGGCATAAGCATTTTCTTTTCGGGATATACATACACAAACATTGTGCTCCATGATTTATATATAGTCTGTAGAATTGTCCCATAAATCTGCAAATTATGATTATTCCTAGTAACTTACCAAGTTCACATAGTGATGGAAAATGGAGGAAATAATACACATTAGCAATGAATGAGTTATTTTGGGAACTAAATGAATCTGATAATGTAAAATACTTAGCATTGTGCCTGGAACCTGGTTAGTGCTAAATACATAGAAGTAATGATTATTATTAATAATAATAAAAATAAAAGAGGCAATCGTGAGTGTTGTGGTTAAGAAAACTGGGCCTGGGCATGCGGCAGTGGCTCAATCACTTAAGCGTCTCCCTTCCACTCAGGTCTTGATCTCAGGGTCCTGGGATTGGGCCCCACGTTGCACTCCCTGCTTAGTGGGGTATCTGCTTCTCCCTAGCTCTCTGTCTCTCCTCCCACTCCTATTCGTTCTCTCCCTCTCTTCACTCAAATAAATGAAATCTTAGAAGAAAAAAAAAAGAAACTGGGTCTGAAATCAGACCTGGTTTTGATTGTAGAATGGCTTCTTATTATGTCACTTGAGCAAGTTATTTAACCTTTCTAAGCCACAGTATCAAATGTACAATAGTAGGTGGGACCTTTGACAGGTAATGAAATTAATGATAGTATAAAAGAGATCCTGGAGAGCTCCCTCACTACTTCTGATAATAATATGTACTTACAGGGTTGTCATAAAAATATAATAAGATAATCCATATTAAGAGTCTAGCATACAGCGTAAGATACACAATGTCTGATATGATGTGTTATTATAGAAGAGAACAAATTCTCATTTATTCATTCATTCAAAGCACTTATTTACTGAATGCTCCAGGGTTTCAGCCACCATGTTAGACAGGTGGACCCAGGCTGTATAAGATCACATCAGCTATATACATCCATCACAATGATGGGGATGAAATATTTTATTTTGTTTAGCTGAGGCAGGAGTGAGAAGGAACTATTGAACAGAATTTATATATGTAGTCTTGGTAGGGAGGTAGGGTTGACAGTCCCTAGGTTTCCCATGCCCTTAACTAGATATATCATTTTCATGCCTGGCCAAAACTCTTGGGGCTGTGCTAAATCTATGGAAGAATAATTGCTGAATCATATACTTGTGGGTCATGTTCATGTTTTGACTCACTTTTTGTTAGGGGACAAGAGGCTGTTAGTGCTCCAAGTGAGAGCTCAGAGAGCCCTTGATTAAAATGTTGAGGCTCACAATTTGAGAAGCAAAGCTATATTGTGGTAAGAGAAGGGGAAAAAGTGCCAGAGCATGAGAAATGATTTATGGGTGAAGAAATACAGACTTTGGAGTAAATTTGTCCCAGGTTGAATCTGTTTATGCAACTTTTTAGCTATGGAACTGTAGGGAAGTTAATTAAGCTCTTTGAGTCTGTGTTATAAAACGGGGGTAATAATACCTACCACCCAAAATTGTTGTGTTAAAAATACATGAAATGTCTGGTACACAGCAAGTGCTGGTGGACTGCTAGCTGTTATTATTATACAGGTTTACGTAGGGATTAGGTGATTCACACAAGGAGTCCTTTAAAAACATTTTTCTTTGTGGCCAAATAAGACAGATTTGCTTTGTTTTTATTAACAGTTCACCTTCTTCAGTAACACTTTAGCAGCATTTCCTGTATAAGGTTTCTTGAAAACAGCAGGCCTGTCTTTGCATGGCTAGTTTCCTGTAACCACATTAAGCCTTATGTTTTACTTACCTCAGAAGCAAGAGCCATGGAATACTTGGGAGGACAGTGTAACAGGGTCAAGCCCTGTGCCTGGAACACACAGATCTACTCAGAAGAAGGCTGTGGCCCTTCATGGAAACATCCATTAATGGAACTATAAAATAATTTGGTGAAGTAAGTATGAACAAATTACATACCATCTAGGCCAGAGGTGTTAGGAGGAAACTGAACAATGTAAAGTGGACTTAAAAAAATAATAAATTGGAGGTTGGGTGTCGCAGAAAGCAAGAAAAAGTTGACAACCGAATAAAAAATACCAGTGTTCTGGCTCATTCTTCTTTCTCATTTAAGGAGGTAGAGTATGGAGATGGAAAAAACACAGATCAGGGAGCCAGGACATTGGGTTTTAGCTCTGACAGTCACTAACTTGTGGAATATTAGCAAGTCCCTTAATTCTCTTTCATACTCGTCTCCACCTGTCAGATGAGGAGGTTGACTTAGCCAGATTTGTTTTCCTCTGACTCTCAAATTCTGCAATCTGCTCTAGTGCTTCCTGCCAGCCAATCTTCCTAACTTTCCTGACAGTCCACAGTGTTAGGCTTATTCTCTAGCTTTCTCCTTCATTTCCTTCCTTTCCCCCAAATGCCTTTTGCTTCTCTCAACAAAAGGTAAGGAAATAGCATGTGCGTATGAAGTAGTACAAAGTTAGAATTTCTTATATTTCAATTTTTAAACAAGAATTAATTTTTTTGAGAGGGAGAGAGCGTATGCATGTGATTTGGGGGAGAGGGACAATGGGAGAAGGAGAAAGAGAACCTTAAGCAGACTCTGCAACAGCACAGAGCCCAATATGGGGCTCCATCTCAGGACCCTGAGATCATGACCTGAGCTGAAATCAAGAGTTAGACGCTTAACTGACTGAGCCATCCCGGTGCCCCAAGAGTTGTTAACTTTTAACAAGTATTCCTAATTTTGACTTTCATTTTTAAAATGGAAATTATATTTTGCTCACCTGTTTTTATTGCTCAATCCCACATTGTGATTTACTTTTGTGATTGTCTTTGTTGTCTGCATGATTGTTGAGCCAGATTGTATATAAGAAATGTAATTGCTACAATGTTCACTTTCTTTAAACCTTCATATCCTCATTCCTTTGGGTATACTGCTATACATCAGAATGCTAATGGTGTTCCTTTACATTAGTTTGTTTTGGATTAGGACTGTAAATATCTGATTTCTTCAAGAAGTATGTAGGATTTGGAGCATTACAGTATGCACATTAGCAAACCCTCAAAACATACTTAAAATGGAAAATATTAAAATTTATAGGCTTTTTATATTATATGGTAATAGCATTATTTATACTGCCAATTTTGAGCTGAATTTTCCACTCCAAAATTTTCTGTTCTTTCATTAACTTTCCAAAGTAAGATATTTGAGAATTACTACTAGCCTACCACTGATTTAACTATAATTATTGAAAGAGAAAAGGGTAGCAATATTCAGGAAGCTAAAGGAAATTAATACCTGCTGCATAATTCTGGGTTAATTGCTTAATATTCCTGACTTATTTTTCTGTAAAAAAATGGTGCTAATACTACCTGCATTACTTATCTCACAGATTTCTTTTGTAGGATTACATGAAAATGTATATACCTTGGCTCATAAATTATGACTGAATATTAATAAAATGGAATAATCCATATAAAAGCACACACATTATTCTTTCAACAGTGTAAAGTATCATAGAAGTGCAAGGAGTTATTATTATATGAGGATTAGTATTGACCACGTCTCCCAGCGGATTGTGCCTTCTGTTTCATTTGTTTGACCATGTTATCCTGCCTATGGCAGCTTCCATATTATCTTGCACTGTTATTCATATATCCTTGCATTATTTGCTTAACTGTTTTATGGTGCATGCTTATCCCAACCAGAACATAATATTTTGTTTTATTTTCCCCTCAGTGCATCATTGGTGTGAGTGTACAAGGGGAGAGGGATTGCTGGAGGAGGATGGGCAGACTAGAAACACCTTGGGGACAGATTGAGGAGGGTGTTCTGAACACTGGAAAGTTAGTGGGTGTTTTTGAGCAGTTGACTGAGTTCACCTTCCTTTAGAAACTAGCTCCTGTGGCAATGTGCAGACGGACGGAGAAGGGAAAAGCTGGAGGCCATTTAGAAGGTGATTGTGTGCTCCAGGTGAGATAGAAGAATTAGGAAAAGTGGCAAAAACACAATAGACAGGTTTGGCTTTTAATTGGTTGCAGATGGTGAAGTGCAAACAAAGTGCCTCTGAGGTATTTTGTCAGGGTGACTGAGCAAGGAAAAACAAATGGTTAAGGATTTATTTTCTGTGTGTGGCAGTAGAGGGTGGAGGTAGATCTTGATAGTACTGATTTGTATTAATTCTTTCTTTTACATCCATTTTACATAACACCCGTTGCAGACTTTTTGATTTTTTTTCTTCTCCAGTGGATGTTGAACTTAAGTGATTTTTCTTTTTGATCCTTAGTCCATTCAGCCTATTGTAATAAAATACTACAGACTGTGTGGTTTAAAAACAATGCAAATTCATTTCTCACAATTCTGAAGACTGGAAGTCCAATATCAAGGTGCCAGGCAATTCAGAATCTGGTGTGGATCCACTTCCTGGCTCATAAGATTACTGGTTTCTTGTGTTCTGACATGGCAAAAGTAATGAAGGAGCTGTCTGAGTCCTTTTTTTTTGGGGGGGGGTGTCATTTTTAGAAGGGTACTAAATCCACTCATGAGGACTTTGCTTAATTACCTAATGACTTAAGTACCACTTTAAGGCCCCACCTCCTAATACAATTACCATTAGGGATTAGGATTTCAATGCTTGAATTTGGGGGGAGACACAAATATTTGGTTGATAGCAGTTGTTTAGGAGCACTTCATAGTTTTTCAGACATGATATGTAGCAAAGCCATTAATAAATATTTGTGATTACAAATAGTTTTGGCATTTAGGTTTCTGTCCACCATACCCCAACAGCTTTTTGAAATATTATAAAAAAGTCCAGTTCTCTGAAGAGAATTGGTCAGTGGGTGGTTAGATCTTATGAAGGTAGAGAGGCCTTGCATCATAAAAACCCCCACTCTCAATGTCTTGCCACACTGGGAACAGTTCAACTATAATAGGGAAGAAAGTGATCTCTAAATAACAGCGAACCCAGACTTAAAGGAAGTACTTGGTTGGTTCTTCATTTTCTTAAGGAGGTAACGGAGAAGTGGTTCCCGAGTAAAAGTGAATCAAGCTCAGGGAAAGGGCAGGAACAAAATGCATATTCAGTTGCCATCTTAATCTTTCATTTCTTTGATGCCATTCTGTTCCCTCTTTTACTTTTAAATAAAGTTTTCAAGAAGCAAAAAGAAACGGAGCTGTGTGGCGTTAACTGCAGCAGGACCAGGGCACAGCGGCCCCTTCCCCCCGCCTGACCCAGGGGTGAAAGGCTGGTTGCGTAGGAGGCGCTGCGGATGGACGCAGGGCCTGGGAGGCGCGGGTCCGCTCGGGGCCAAGCGGGGCACCGGGGATCTGCTTCTGCCCAGGACGGTGGGCTCTCGGGGACCCGAGGTCGCCCGACTGGAGGCGACGGTAGGCGCACGGAGCGGCCACATAGATGTCGCTGCGCTCAGTAACTCCTGCCCTTCCTTTTCTTTTTTGAATTTTTATTTATTTTTTAATTTATTCATTCATGATTGAGCGAGAGGCAGAGACACAGGCAGAGGGAGAAGCAGGCTCCCTGCAGGGAGCCCGACGTGGGACTCGATCCTGGGACTGCAGGATCACGCCCCGGGCCAAAGGGCTGAGCCACCCAGGGATCCCCGCCCTTCCTTTTCCTTAAAGGAAAAGTCCCGGTCCTCTGGTGCCTCGGGCTGCGAGGGCAGGCGCAAAGCCGGCCTCCGCGTTGCTCCTCCGCCCGCCCTCGGGTGGCCGGGACCGCAGCTGCAGAGCGGAGGCGAGCTTTCCGCACCGCGCGCGCATCCTGGGGTCCCCGGCGGCGGGGGGGGGCGGCAGCGGCGGCGGCGGCGGGAGCGAGGGCGGGGGCGCCTGCGCGTGCGCGCCCGCGCGCCTGCGCAGAGCCTGGGTCACGCGCGCGGCGTGGGGGCGTGGCGGCGCCCCCGGGGCTGTCATTCGCGGCGCGCCTCGCCGCCCTCAGCTGCGCCGGGCGGTTCCGGCCCCTCCCTCTGCCGGTCGGTTCCTCAGTCCCACCATGGTGCTGGAGTCGGTGGTCGCGGACCTGCTGAACCGCTTCCTGGGGGACTATGTGGAGAACCTGAACAAGTCCCAGCTGAAGCTGGGGATCTGGGGCGGTAAGCGAGAGGGCGCGGCGGGCGGCCTGCCCGTGCGGGCTGCGGGGGCCCCGCCGCGGCCCCTCCCGCGCGGCTCCAGCCCGGGCCCAGCTCCCTCTGCCGCCCGAGACTCCGCCTCCGGGGAGGGCGCTCGGCGGGGCCCCCTCCCCAGGCGGCAGGTGCGCGGGTGCCGGAGGCCCGGGGTGCCCGCCCGGCGGGGGGAGACGCGGCCGGGGTCGCGCTCGCGCTGCGGGAGCTCCCACCTTCCGGCCCCGGGGGCGGACCCCGCGCCCCGCCGGGACCCCCCCCCCCCCCGGCCTCACCTGGCCCCCGGGGCTCCACGGCCTGCGAAGAGAGGTTCCTCCTCCCGCACCGCGTGCAGCCGGCATGGCTGTGCGCTCACACACTCTGATAAGTGGCACCAAGGAAAGGAAGAAAAAGGAAATCGCCTTTCCCAGTCACCTTCTCCGGGCATTTTATGGCGAGCAGGACCTGCTTTCCTCCTCTATAGAGCGGCAGGATTTGAGAAGGGACCGATTGGCCCTGGAAGATCGTTACTAAAGGCCTGTTTAGTATGGGTTCTTACGATACTTTTAGCATCCGAGAAAACGATTTTCTTCCCTTAACGTTTCCTTCGCTCCAGTAGACTTTTTTTTCAGTTCTGTTTTGGATGACAGACAGAAATAATTCAAGCCACGACGGGCATCATCATTAGCTAGGCGCATGCCCCAAACGCACACTGCCCCCCACACCGAGTATGTACAAGTAGACGGGAAGTAGTATGCTCGCACGCTCTTCGGGAGGATTATTTGTGCTGATGATGCCTATTAAGCTTTGGGGATCTTGAGGATACTTGTTTCACTCTGTAAAGGACTTTTGGGAATTTTGTCAGCTTTGGAAGGAAACCCAAAGAACTGCTCAAGCGCGTGGAGCTGCTTTTACTTTAGTCTAAAAGTTAAAGACCTGCACTGCCTGATAGGGTAGCCAGCAGCCACTGCGTCTATTAGGCACTCCGAATGCAGTTAGTTCACATTGAGGTTTGCTCTGAGTGTCCAAGAAGGTGGAGTTTTGAAAATACTCAGTAGGAGAAAGTGTAGTATCTCAGTCTTTTATGTTGATTATGTGTTGAAATAATATTTGGGCACATTGGGTTAAACATAACATATCATTAAAAGTTCATTCCTCCGTTTCTTTTTTCCTTTTTTTTTTTTAAATCTGGCCCCTGAAATTTATAATTACAGACGTGAACCATATATTTATATCGAGCGATGTTGTTCTAGAACCATGAGCACTGCCCTAGATTGTGGATGAGCCTTCTTTGAAGAGGTGGCTGGTCATTTGATTGGTTCTGTGTGGTTTGCCCAACACTGCATTCTTTGTTTACATGCCCTATAATGCAAAAGAAAGAGAAGTTAAGATGAGACATTTAAGGAGTCAAACATGGGCTGCCTTCTGCAGCAATCAACCCTAGCAGTCAACTAGGCTAGCATTTATGAAATGTGGGCTCTAGGTTGTTGTGTTGGACAAGCCATTAACCTTCCTTGGCCTTCGTTTTTTTCATCTTAATTTAAACTTTAAAAGAAAAAAAAATCATACCAGATAATGGAATATTCCTATGTGGTCACTACTCAAAATCACCTAAAGTTAAGTTAAAGTAAGGTTAAGTTAAAACACTGTATCCTATTTACATCAGATGGATTTTTTTAAAAAAAGAAAGTTTATGGATATATTCAAAGGTTTCTTCTCTATCAAATCTTACTTTCCTTTTTCTTTAAAATTGGAAGTTGTAATAGGTAGCATCTGAGGTTCCTTCCAGTGCCAATACTTTCGTGTTAGTTGTACATGTTTTTAGTATGAAATTGTGAAGTATGCTACCTGGGGATTTTGAACTTTTACACATCTGAAATTAAAAATGCCACAATATTATGTCATTTAAAATTCGTCCCTTTTTTAGGTGGTATGTAGGAAAAGAAACTTTCTTTCTTTTTTCTTTCTTTTTTTTTTTTTTTTAGAACGAGGTATGCTGTTGGTGGCAAACATCGGTTTTAATATAGGGCTGAGAAAATAAACTCCTTTCAGGAACTAACTGTATCTACTGGAGGTCCACTTAGGGATTCCCTCAGCTTTATCAGCCCACATCTCTGCTTCTATAAAGTTTTGCCACCCTTTGTTTTGGTGGTAAACAAGTGGGTGTATTAATGAAATAGCTGATAATTTAGGACATCCATTACATTGACAAGTTTTATAAAGAATTGGAAATTTTATATAATCTTATTTGAAAACTTTTAGTAAATAAGGGTTATGTGTAGTAGAGTTTGGCTGTTTCCATTTTTTTCTTGTTAAATTTTTACGTTGTGATAAAAGAATTCAACTCTAAACATTTCACAGGACTGATGTTACTATTCTTTAGAAACAAATGGAAAACTAAATTGATATTGAAAAAAAAGATTTTATTTGTTTATTTGACAGAGTGAGCACAAGCAGAGGGAACAGCAGGCAGAGGGAGAAGGAGAAGCAGGCTCCCTGTGGAGCATGGACCCCAATGTGAGACTCAATCCCAGGACCCTGGAATCATGACCTGAGTGGAGGGCAGACACTTACCTGACTGAACCACCCAGGCACCCCGTAAATTGATACTACTTACCTGGAATGTTTGACTAGGCTAAAGCAGTGATTTTCGACTGGAAATGACTTTGCCCCAAAGGAATATTTGGCAATGTCTGAGACATTTTTGGTTGTCACGTTGAGTAACGGGGGTATGCTGCTGGGATCTAGTGGGTAGACCCTAGGCATACTGCTACATCCTGCAATGCACAGGACAGCTCCTTACACCAAGGAATTAGCCAGCCGAAAATGTTTGTTGAGAAACTCAGGTTGAAGGAGAATATTGAGTTTGTCTTTTGCATTTTTAAGAGACCTTCTGGGTGCTGAACAAGTTGTAATAAGAAGTGGAAAAGGACTTAGATGTATATTCCTCATGAAATTTGTAACTTGAGAGAAACATATCTTAAGTGATTGAAAGGTATGTTGGTAAAAATGCAAAATCTTTGGATGATATCAGGAAGTAGTTTTAAAAGTAAACAACTTGAAAAGGATTGTGGTGTATGTATATTCATACATATTTACAGTGAAATTCATAATAAAAAGTTGTAGAGTAAGAAGGAAAGGGAAATTTTATTTGAAAGTCTTGAATCAGGAAGAGTACTAAGAATATTACCTTTAAATTGGAGAAGCAAAAAAAAAAGCTATCTTTTTTGTTTTGTTTTTATTCTTTTAAAGATTTTTTTTAATGCCAAACAGTTCATGTATGTTTTCACAGTGATTTAAGCAGAATGATCTTTTAAAAAATCTTGCTTGTTGTAGGAAAATGAAGCCCTGGTTATTTACTGTGAGATCCATAGGCAAAATATTTTTATTCTTTAAACCTCAGTTTCCTTATCTGTAAAATGGGGAAATAGCACTGTGTTTGTGACACAGTCCGAAAATCCTCTGTAATTATAATTGTTAAATTGCTAACACTGATAGTAATAGTGATGATAAACAAACATAGCTGGGTTAATGGAAAACAGCCTGCTTTGTTTTATTTTCATGAGTATATTTCTTCTAGGCTTCAAACTTTATAATTTTCATATTCTGAAATGTGACAGTTTGGTTTAGAGCAAACACAACACATCTAAATATTTCTTATTTTCCAAACTTTTTAAAAGGAAAAAAACTCATTTGCATTTGAATTTGCACTTAAAATACTTACATTTACACTTATATACTTAGATGCCAGCTAGTTTGTAAGTAAGGCTTTCAGACCCAGAAGAGTCTGTGGTGGGCATGTTGCTTGCTTATGTAGGTAGGAAGGTTTTTGTTCTCCACAACCTGATACCTAAAGATAAATTGCACAGCCTTTAGCTATTTGAGCTGTGTCCAGGATATAATTGTTTTAAGAGTAACATATATTGAAAAGGTATGTTGAAACACCCTATCTTTTGCAACTTGGCTTAAGTAAGTATTGTGGCAATCTAGAACCTTTGTCGATTTGATTTTTCAAAGTGATTAACTGTGGAAAGTCAGCAGGAAAATCCTTCATTCCGAATTCTCTCTTTGATTAAACAGAGTATACCTAGAGACTGTGATGTGTTCGTTGCAAGGAGTGGCTACAGTGATCAGGAGTAGAAGCCAAGTGGAGTGCCTGCAGAGTTTGTATTTTTGCAAACCAGGCTGAACCTATGCTGATTACTGTTCTTCACCTCAGGCCTGATGCTATTCTGTCAGCTGCCAGATACTTTTGGGCAGAGCAGCATAAGGAAGTAAGGATCTAATTCCATCTCTGTTGGTGCCCAATTTGTGGGGCTTTTGGCAAGTCATTGACCAGACAACTAGTTTCTTATCTGTAGGTGAGAGGGTTGACAAGGTCATCTCTTCTGGCTTTTAATCTTTGTGATTGAACAAGGCCAGAGTAGAGGGATCTCCTTCATTGGATACGTCTTTGTGCCACTTGCTTTGCCTACATAGTGGGAAGTCGTAATCACTGCATCTTTCTTCTTTTTCTTCACTTGGAATGGTGAGCAAAGAGTCACAGGCATGAAATATAACATTAAGATAAATGAAATTCCAGCCTCATACTGATATATTTGTGAATCCAAATCTAATATTTTACATTATCTTAACAGGTAGCCGTAGAGTATCTTGAGAATACAAGAAAAATCTGGCCTCTTTGCTTCTTTTTAACCTTAACAAAACAGCAGTATCTAGATATTTCTAAAGTTTTAGAGGGATTTTTTTTTAGTCCTTTCCTCCTTCTGGCCAACCCTTGGTATAGTGAAGGCCATGCTTGTTAGTAGTTTGTCCTATAGCATGTAAAATAAATAACAGTTCAATATTGAAATATATATTTAGGCTCGGTTATTATCAAAGCAATGCTTAAAAACTTCAATTGAAAATACCTTACCATATTTTGAAATAGCATCATAAATGAAAATCCCTTTTCCAGAAATAAAACTGGAAGTTGGTAGTTTGATAACCATTCT